AGGTGTTTCAATGGAACGGTAACCTAGAACCCTGTAGCATCATCTACGAGTGTCGTCTCTCGAAAGATATCACTGACCGTGAAGTGGCGCTCGCACACCTGAAACACAAATTTGCCTTCGTATAAGTGGCAGCAATATGTGAGTATTTTTGATTTGGTTCCCGTGCGTCACACGAAGTACAGATGTCTCGATAATATATTCGTGCACGAACACACGTGTCAACATTTTTTTCAAGCGCACGTCTTTTCACAAGAATAGATGTGACTTTTTTACTCGCCTCATTTCTTTTTACAATGCTTTACAACATAAACAAAACTGAGGAGAAGTTGCTGTTGTCCAGTCGTAGTAATAGAATAACTTAGTTCGACGTGAGCGCGTTGGTGAAGTCAAATAAAACAGAAAGAATAAACAGAGGGAAGGACAGTTCCTTTTTTTAAGGACAGTCCCCATGCAAGTTAGAGCCTTTAAACTGGCCTCTTGGCAGAGCACTCAACCTTATATCAGTCGTGAGAGGAATTACACGGGTTCTGAATGAATAGGCCGCCAAAGTACATGTCGCATCTCGAGTCCTCGACGTAAGCTGTCGGGCGTAACCAAATACTACTAACGGGCTTTGAACATATTTAACAATTTCTGAATGATTCCCGACATAATGCCAACCGATATGAGTCATTTGACGGAAGCTAAGGAGGCTTTAGAAGCGACTGAAACTGAACAATAGACCGGCAAATCGAAACAAGGAGGAGTGCTTGCCCTGCTATGTTCAGACACAAGAAGATTCCGCCAGAAGATGGCTCTTTTCCACACTTGCGGCAGGTCACCGTCATGAGGGAACTTTAACACATGAACTTTTCGGTGTTTTTGTAATTGCCGCGACATCCCGTAGCTCAAAATGGGTACGGCATGCCGATCCGCCAATCAAACACGCGCGTGCGTACGTTTTAAAACAAGACAGGACAGCCGGGCCAGACGACGGGTGGAGAAAAACAAAGAAACAATGTGAACAGCTCCGACGGCTCTTCCCGATTTGAACAGCTAAGCCACGTACGCGCGGTGGCCAGGTTAGCGGCGCTCCGTGCGCTACCACCGCCACCGTCGCCAGGCTACCGCTGGGTGAACGGAACTCGCCGACGGGAGCGCCGGTAGCGTATCCGGCCACCGCCGCCCGCCCCACGGCCCCAACCACTAGCTGCGTTTGATTTACCACCACCCACATCTCCTGAATCGGTGGAGGAGGTGTAGGGAAATCGAAGGCAGCTGCCAACGTTACTAAAACCACTCAGTTGGGAAACTGCCATAGAGACTGCTCTGAAAAAGTGGCCCCGATGTGTCCTCCAGAACCGAGCTAATGGCGAACACAACGCCGCCATTTCTCCCACAGCGGCCACTCGAGGAACTGCACGTTACTTTTATTTTGGCTTTAATCGGCCATTTTGGCGCCGAAACAGATACAGCGGAATAGGTTACAGGGGTGCCACCCCCGTCTACCCAGCGGACGCGCCGCGAATTACTACCGAAGTTAAAATGCACCTAGCTCGGGACGCGCTACCTGAAAGCATCGCTGAGGCATACTTGTATAAACACAATGTTATTTGTGCCGCAAACGTCGCAAACCAAAGATTATAAAAACATGACGCGCCCTTCATTTTGTACTAAAACACTTTAAATTTCACAGAAAAAGAGTCTTTTTCGTTTGTTTTTACGCAAAAACAGGCTTTCTAAAAGCTCAATGTGACCACAGTACAGACAAATGATAAAGAGTGGCGCTGTTGTCGTATTTAACTCGGTCTCGGTGGATGCCAGCGGCACAGGTTTCGACGGCGAGTTTCTCAACTGAGTGTTTTAGTAACGTTGGCAGCTACTGATCTTTATGACAATTGCTGGATCGCGCTCCCCCTCTTGATCGCTGCAGCGCAAGTGAAGCCACGGGACCGCCATCTTGCTTGTAGACCAATTGCGTTTTCGTTAGCATTGCACAGGCTGTCGGCAGCGTGCTGAAGACACGTTTTCTACTCGTTCGTCGTCATTCGCCGAAGAAGGTTTTCTTTAAGGCCCTGTCTAAGCGTTCAGACTTGCAGTTGAGAACACGTGGACATTTTTACGAAAGCGCAGTTCCGCAGGAAAAAGGGGCAACGCGTCGAAAACAAGTTTGGCCGGTCTTGTGGCATGATCAAAGCTTCCTCGCACGCCGAAGTGCTGCGTCTCTGTTCCTTCGCACGCTTGGATACCGATCAAGATTTGACGCCGTGCGGATGCGTTTTACGAATACAATGCGCGTGAAGGCATATGCGCCTCTGGAGCAGCGTTTTACTTTACTCTGACAACTGTATTTGAAACTTGCGGCACCCGAAGTCTATAAACTTGCTTGATCCGGCGTCCAGTGATGACGGAAAAGGAAGGGGCGAGGTACGTCTTTTTTTTCGTCGTTAGATGGTTTACAGAATACAGCACAACAGCTCATCCCTGATCAGTGGTCTGGCTCATTATCAACTATTGCACGCGACATCAAGTTTCAGCCAGGCTCGTCTAATCCTGATTGATCAACAGATTGCACACGACCATATAAGCCGCGCTTCAAAGATTTTCGATCTCGCCATCTTGTACTTTTGCCTTTGAAAACCATCCTTGCTCCACAGCGTTGCTCTATTTGGGCTGCCGTGTGATCCATTAGAGTAGATTTGAAACATAGCCATAATTATTTTTCAGGGGCGAGCGTGGCCGCAACGGCCACAGTCACCCCTGACGAAGAACCAAGTAGGTTCGAAACGTAGGGCTTCTACATGTTTAGGACTTGGTCGTTTGCCGTACTTTAATTATTGTGTTTCCCAACCAGAGAGATTTCTCTCGAATGTTTACTTTCCAAAGGTTAATAGTGCATAAAAGCTTGTACAGATTGCCCCCCCCCCCCCCTCCCTCTTTTTATTGATAGCAAATCGCCGGAATAGGTGGACGGTCGGAACAGCTGGACGATCCAGAACTCCGAAGCCGATATATGGTGCAAAAGTGTCTAGGCGCCACGGACCTTGAAAACTTGGCCGCGGCGACAATTCTTGATCGATATCCAAGCGCGCGAAGGCACAGAGACGCAGCACTTCGGCGTGCTAAGGAAGCTCTGATCCCGCCTAGAGACCGGCCGAACTTGCTTTCGACGAAAGCAAGTTCGGCCGGAACACCACCAAATATTGCGTCTATAAAAAATTTCAACACGCTCGTCGAATGCTTTCGCCGACAACAGCAACGACCTCCAGGAGCGTCTCTTCAAATTGTCCCTGGCGACCGCAACACAAAACAAGTTTGTCATTTGCGTATTTGCACGCACGGTATAGCAGTTAAAAATATTTGCGAGTTACTGAAAAAGCCTTTCGAGCCTTTAGGCACATAAGCTGTTTACATATAAATCATTCTAATGGCAAGATATGTAGTATTTTCACATATTGTTTGTGTAATCTAGAGCGAGTTCTTGTTGTGAAAGGGCTGGAAAAATACATTACACGTTGAGTTTCTCGTTAATTTCTGATGACTCAATAGGAACACATCAGAAATTCAAATATTCGTTTTCATAAGGGTGTAGAATTCAATTACCCTTAATAAATATAAATAAAAATAAAAAGTTGCCGTATAAGTGGCATAAAACTACTTCGCTGTTCAATCAGTTCGACAGAGCCGGAAGCCACCAGTCTTCTTTATTTTTTTCTTGTCACAATTAAAGTGTCATGAATATTTCGCTAACGGCAGTTGCCGGCAGTCGCAGCCAGATGTTCACGTAACGAGATGTCTTCGCAATCGGATGGATAGCTTGCGCATTACTATACATATTTTTTTTTTTAACTTTTGACATGGTATCTAACTCAACAAAAGCCAAGTAGCTAATAATAATTTGTTGGTACGTAGTCGTACACTCTAAATGTGCAACGAGTACCCTTATAGACCATAGGTGTGCTTGAGAAAACTTACCGATGTATGTGATAAGTATACGTTATTAGTAGGATTTGAATACGGTTACACAATATTCTGGCTACAGTTCAGGTGCATGTGGTAATTTTCTATTTTACAAGTATACTTTCAGTACGGCACCTTTTCTAGAGCATATACAAATAGGTACACTTTTAGTACGCTTTTTCCTTCAAAATATTCACTGTCCGTGTCGAATAATAAACATATAGGATTTCCAATTAAAGATAAATATGGAAAGGGTCGCAATTTAAGAAAGTACATATAGCCATATACAACTATATATGGGAAAAGGACGCCATTTAAGGGACAACGTAGATAGCCTTACATAGGAAAAAATTGGCACCATATATTGATATATATCGTGCCAATCAACGAATTAGCAATTAGTTATTCGGGGAATTAACGAATGGAATTTTTTGTCAAATGAAATGGTAACGATTCCGGCACTTGATGTTTTTGCTGGGGGAGTCGCTTCTGCCACGACAAAGTGCGCGTACGAACATCCCACGAAGTCAATAGTAACCGCCCCTGCTATAGCTCACAGATATGAGCCGCAGTATCCTTTAAATAAATAAATATATGTTACCATACATGGCCATTATGGCGTCCTCTCGCCATATATGCACCTATTTGCTAATTTATATGGGAATACACTGCTTTAAATATTTTTATATGAATATATATGCCCGTACATCAAATAAATCGGGTTCATATAAGACCATCTTGGAAGGGATAGCCTTCGATTCTGAGCAATATTTACTCGTTTTTATTCGCGGCATTTTTCATCAATGCTTCAGTTATGTTTTTATGGCATAAAAAAGCAAAAGTTTTGATTTTATATGTTGTTGTACAAGCTCTGACTTGTACGTCATATTTTTTCTTTTAAATAAACAATGTATGTCATTCTACATAAAGCAGAACGTTCTACACGCTGTTCGGATTTAGTAAATCTATTTTCGAAGTACAAAAGATGTTTGTAGGAAGACAAAATACAAAACAATAACTATCATGGAGTAATAAAAATCAACACAGAAGACTGCACCCACCTTGGCGAAAATCGAGCGCTCCCCTGACGGTGACGTGCGCCACATATACAGTTTGTTCATTGTCCAACAGTGGCAGCTGTATTAGAAGGTCATCAAACTTGACGGGACAACGAAGGGTAGTCTTCACGGGTTTAATATATTTTACGCAGTTTCCGTTGCGTCCAAACTTAAAACTAAGACCGAAGATACGCGCCGTGCGATCCTGGCCAAGTGGTATTCTGCGGCCACTCACGGAGTCAAGGTGGTCAGGCATTTGGAGACGGTACATGCTTGTATTTAATCGTTCGTGGATTTCCCGTTGAACCATTAGAACAAATTGGTCCAGAAAATTTTCAAAATATATCACTCTTTTATCTCGTTGTGAAGCTGAAACAAAAGCAATTAACTGAGTAAGCGGCTTGAAGACTGAACTTTTAAAATAATGCATGTATGAGTTAGGTGTGCTTAAAAAAAAGGGGACATACCTTTTAGGACATGTTCAAACACAGTTGGTTTTTATGAAACAAAATTATTGACCCATATAAACATGTCTAAAAGTGCTTTCCGGCCGACGGATTTTCGCGACTCACGCGACCCTATAAGCCAGACTTTTCTGTCCCCCTCCTGGGCTGTGGAGACCCGGTCAGCGTGACTCGCCACTTGCGGTCTTCATTCGGAGTTTTATTGGACTTTCTTTAAAGTTTTTAGTTAGTTTGTCTATTGAGGATGCTCACCCTTTTTGCTATATTTTTCTTCGTGAAAATAAGTCAATATCGGTGCTGCTTGCCTGCTCGGCCTTTTCGGGAAACGAAAAATTAAAGTGAACGTCGGACAGCCCGCGACGAGGGTGGCTCGATGTTCTTCGAGCAATATCCTCGCTGAGATAATCTCCGGAAAGGCTTCCCGGTTTTCTTCGCGAAAATAACGTATCGGGTGCGGGGTAGGGGATGAAGCAAACAAAGGATCGTTCCTTTGCTTTGGTGCTGTGCAACAAGCAAGCTCCCTTCAAAACGTGCCTAAAAACAAATCCGGATTCCGTCTGATCGTCGTAAAGTGACTCTCGTCGATACTGCACATTGGATAAGTTGTGTTATTTGAGATCGTCCTTAAATAAGCATTGTTCGAACGAAGCGTCAATTTGGGGTACGTCCAATATGCTCTGTGGGTGACACTTCACGAATTTCATTTTTTGAGCGGAGAATACGGTTATGCATTTGGGTTGCGTTGTTTGTTCAGCTATATTCGACAGCTAAGACCTTTGTAGACTAGGATGGTTGGGTGTTTGGCGCCGTGAAAAAATTGCGTAAAATGAAACAAAAGTTCTAGTTGCTTGAAGGGAATGTAAGTGCGCAAACGAGCTGGTTTAAATCGAACAGGACATACACTCTAAAAAAAGGGTGTCGTCTTAAACTCTGTTGTCCCACATAACGCATCCCAAAACTTTAGGTCGATGCACCGTTTTTTTTTTTTACAATTTGATTAAAACGGAGTCAATGGTCCTGGGAAAATGGCAACATAATTATCTTTCAAATCTCAGACCGTTGTCAAAAGGGGTCTTGCCGCTTGTCTCGTCGAGGTTGATTCAGGGCAACATGTCATTGCACTATCGGGTCACGACAAAAGCCACTCTTTTGGTTTCCAGTTTGAGCCATGCGATTTGTGATTTAGAGAAAGGAGAAGCCGAGAAGGTATGTTTTTGTAACAGTGAAAGCAATGGAAAATAGAGACTGTATTAAATAGAGAAAAGGGACAGTTGAAACTCTCTATTACATCCTTAACCACTCCACCTCGCGCGGCCGCACGCTAGATTGATGGAATAGGATGGGATGACTACGAGCTTCGAAGGGACTGCCCTCGGAAGTTTATTTAAGTATCGACGTTTATCGAAGTAACACTTGTGTGGAACTTATGTCGTGGGACGAATTAATATTGCCAATGTCAATGGCACGAACGTCAAATTCAACTGAAGAAATTTTAATCGATACGAGCGCGTTTTATTTTCTTCTGGCATACGTTTACATCCAGTTAATATTTACATATTCATTTTCAATAGCAAAGACTGCGAAATTACACTCCGAATTTCGAAGAATAGGGAATCAAACAAATATAAACTCCGATAAACTTCGAATCTTCGGCGGAAAATAAACTCCGAAAAACACCCTCCGAATTTTACAAGAAATAAACTCCGAAAACACGGAGCCCTAGTTATATTGCACCGTTTTTAAGCCCTTTGTAAAATGTTGGGGCCGTCTGTTCGACGTCAGCGTGCTGTACGTCAAACTGAAGTTTAAGTGTGCGTTACATGGGACAAAAGGGTGTAGGACGACGCCTATATTTTTAGACTGTAAACCTCGGTACTGCAGCCGAAACGACGCAAACACTGAAAGACACGTTTTAATGTTTGTGTCGTTTTTTTTGCACTCTCTGGGTTTATGTCATGTTTAATTATAGCAGCCTTCGTTCTGTTGCACACGGTATTATCAAGAATATTTTTGATTGCTAAATTTTGCTCCCAAAGATTGTATGTACAATGTTTTATCAAAGGTCTCGAAGCATTGAATTTGAGACAAAAAAAAAAAAGAACAATAAAAAGCAGTAATTTAGGCACCACCAGTGACTGGAATTGAACCAAGGCTGCCACAGCTCACTGCGAGAAAACCCACCGACCAGTGCACTCGGGGAACACTGACATAATCTGAAAACTAGTGACGCGCCTTGTAAATAGCCTCTCTCAAGTCTGCCGCTGGAAAGGTGTGTAGGACCATGTCTAACTTTTTTTTAAGGTTTGTATCCGAAAACAAATTATATTCGTAACTTTCAGGGATGGTGGTACCACGTTCTGAAAATCGGGCTTTGTACCTCCTGGATGATCGATATTAGAATGAATGTGTTTGCTTACACCTTTCTAACGTGGAAATATGAGGTAGGGCTCCTATATGGCTGGTATTTCACAATATTATAGTTACTTACGCATAGCAGACGCTTGCTTGTACTACTGTTATACGACGATAACCCAGATGAAAGACATTTTGAACGGAAGTAGTGCGCCCAGTATAGGCCGTGAAAGGGGCGAATACAATACAAAGCATTTTGGTGATTGGTAAAATATTACACATGCGCGAAAACGATTTCCTTGCATGAAAAGTTCTGGAATTCATTCATAGGGTCCTCCCGAGGCTAGCAAGTACGTGAATATGTCACGCTGCACCCAGTGCTTCTTGGCACTGCACAATGCAGGTACCGACGCTTCAACTGTTGCAAAGTTGGTTCCTATGCAAGAGCAGCGCTCGTACATGATAGATAGATAGATGGATGCATAGATAGATAGATCGATAGATAGATGGGGTTTATTTGCGTGCCTGCAAACAGCCAAGTGACCTGAGCAGCAGTGCACTGTCCTGTACACAGATGCATAAAAGTATGAGATAAAAACACAATTAGGCGAAAATGTCTGCTTCACCAAAAACAGACATTTTCGCCTGATTGTGTTTTTTATCTCATACTGATGACGGCAAATAGGTACTTCCTTACAATATAAACTTGTTTTCATCATTCTGGTAATCTAGGGGTGCGCAGAATGCGCAGTGTGCGCATTTGGCTTCTTTATGCTTAATTACGGAATGCTTTGGGTAGCTTTGAAGCCTTTGCACACAGTGCGGACTCATATGCTCATCGGGTTTATCAGAATGATCAACACAAGTGTAAATGTATTCAAGAGTGGGTGTATGAGGAGTATGCTTTAAAGGGGTACTCTGGCGATTTTTTCACGGTCCATGAATTTCCCTCCAATTTGCTAAACACACCAACGAACATCGCAGAAATAGTATCCCCGATATTAGGTCAAAATGTTTCTTTTTTGCGAAGTTGTCGAATTTACAACTTTTGTCCTAATCGTGTTACTCAAACTGTAAATCTCTACTGGCATCAAGAAAATAGTGACGCCAATGGAAGGCATATGTTCACTCTTCAAACTGTAGATTTCGTATCCAACTGATTACAAAACAGTTTCATGATGTCAAGTGAATGCTTTAGAAGCTCGCTCTAGTACCAGCGCACCAGGAAGGAACAAATGCTTGGCATAGTCCATTTTCTAGACTGCCTCCTCGACTGGCAAACCTGCCTTTCTTTGACGTCACTGCACTAAACAGTGCGGGCATATTTGAATGTTGGTTTTGGCATCATTTACAATTGCTGATTTCACAGTAACTATTTAGAATATTGAGATACTACATAGCCAGAGAGCTCCTTTAATTGGACGTTTCCACGGGTTCTGCGAATACTTTGGTCCTGCTTCTTCAAAGGGTGCGTTAGCGTCCTGAGCCCTAAGAGCTCTTGGACCATGAGGAGCCTCTTGTCGTAAATGACGAGGAGGTTTATTGCACCCTCTAATATATATCGTGGGTGTTGTGCTAAGTCGTGACGTCATACAGCCGCCACGATATTTGTTGGCGAGTTATGACCTGCTTCGTGATGTTATGGAATTACGTAGAGAGGAATGCTTCGTCATTCGAGAGCCAGCTGCGTGCGCCGACGGTCACCAGTTTACGCAGGCTACAGCGAGTCATATTTGGTGGTCATGTTGGCGCTCTCTTTTATCACCTCGCGGCGCCAAGCAAGGGCCTCAGGCTGCGATTCACACTGTTCGGAATAAATCTTTTTTTTTTTTTTTTTATAAATAATTACGTCTAATTTTGTGTTCTTATAATTCATTACTGCTGAAAATGCCTTTTTTAGGCTTATGAACCGCCTTGTATAGGCTGATTTTACTTAATGGTTTTTTAGCTTGTGTGTAAAGCTTTTTGGTCTTTCTAGTATACACTCTGCTCTCTCTTAGGGCATTGGTATTTATAAAGTTGTTCGCGTTAATAATGTTTATATGTTAGACAATTGTAACCTAAATTCTTTGGAAAGGTGACTGAAGAGTATCAAATACCTTCCGTGGCATATGTATACGGTATTTCATTTGAATACTTCTTGAATGTTGTAATTGCATTTGTGATTAAAACTTTTCGTACAAGTATCTTATATACGAAACTGACTAGGGTGAAGGTTGGGCGAGTTGGTGATCCATAATGGTTAAAATGCGCTACAGGACAACGGGCAGAAAGAAAGGCGCTTTGTCTGTGTCTTCCTTTCTGACCGTTGTCCGGTTGCGCTTTTTAATAATTATTTTAGACACATTTTTACGGATTTTTAACAATTTTTCTACGGTTCTTTAGGCCATTTATGCTGCATCTGGGATCTTTTTGAGGCAACGAAACTGATGTTCCACAAAGGTTAAACCAATTTCGAGAAGCTCTTGCATTTTCAAAAGTAGTAAAAACGAGAGTCAATTAAGGTTATTTTCCTGCCTCTAGAATATATCTTGAATAGAAGGTGTCACCTTGTTTGGTTCCCTTTATGCAACTTAGTATCGGGATGGTAATGTTTGCTGTTTAATAACGGTTTATGCTATTCAACTTTGGTTACAGAGCATGCACCCTATTTTGGAAGGCAAGGTTTCTAAGTGTGATGTAGCCGCCGGTGTCAGATGTAACTTAA